AATTGGTCATTAACATCTTCAAAGATGTACTTGACTTTTAAATGTTTATGTTAGGTATTTAAAAATGTTCTACCTGTTAAGAATGTAAAATGATCATTTCTTTGGGCTCCTTGAAATCACTTTTGTGAGAAGAAATATTCATTCTTCTCAGGAACAAGACCTTTGAACTCCCGATTTCACTGTTAGACAGAAATTGACTTTTTAGGTGGGTAGGTAGACTGGTGTTTGTATATAAAGTGACCCTATTGCTGTACACAGAAGTAAAATTGAATTTTTGGTCTATTAAGAAGAAAGGGGGAAAAACACAAGGATCCTATAGCAAACCTAGGTCCTAAATCAGACATTTTATGGCACAGATAATTTGGCCTGTACATCCTTTAATTGGTTTTAGCTTTTAAACTTTGTGTTCAGCAGAAGTTTAATTTTAAATTGAATTTTTTACTTCCCTTTTCTCTTTTACTTTATTTTGAAATAAGAAAATAGGAGTGGCTATGAAAGTTAGCATTTGTATTTCAGTTAGCTCATTGTTTCTTTTAGATGACATCAAATTCCTGATATGTAGAATCAAATAAAAATGAGATAAACCGTGAATCATAATTTTAAAATTATTTTTTTCACTCACTGAATTCAGACAGTACACAATTATAAAATTAAAAACCATAATTGCATCTTCTTGATTCAACCAAGCATTATACAGTTTTATAGAAATACTAATGGATTTTTGCCTATCTTTCCTCAATCTGTGGGAATATTCAGAGTTGTTCCTCTGGAGTTTAATTTTACTTTCAGACTGAGGAAATTATGAGAAGGAGAGTGAAAACTCCTGGAGACGTGAAGGCATGTTGGCTTTCTTTTTCTAATAAGCTCCTTAAAATATATCTCTAAGATAGCATGTGGAGTTTTGTGGATAAAATTATATGGTGTTAGGATTTATTTCAAAACGTTTTGGAGGAGGGGAGAGAAGTGAATCTAAAAGTAGGCGTAATATGAGTTGATACTGTAAAAGCCAGGTGATGCACACTTGGGGTTCATTATATTATTCTACTTTTGTGTATTTTTTTTAAGTTTCCAAGTAAAAACACAAAATCCCTTGCTTGCTCTCTCTTCTCCCTTCCCCTCCCCCCATTCCTTTTCCTCCTTTCCTTCTACTTTAAGGTACTTTGAGTATCTGGCCTCTTCCTATATGTTTCCTTTTATTTTTAAAAACTTGCTCACAATTCTCAGACTTTTGGAACAGGTATATACATGCTCCCTCATATTATCAACACTTTCATAATTACTTATTAATGAAGTTTAATTTGATTTTGAGTTACTTTATATGCTATAAAATTAATATTAGTGCAAAGTAAATGTATCATATTGTTGACCAGGCTTTATAACTCAATTCTCAAACAATTATATTTAAAGAGACTAACTCATACTTGGTTTTTAATTTTTAAAATTTTGATTTAATTTTAGACTTACAAAAGAGTTGCAGGAATAATGAAAAGAAGTCCTAAGTACCCAGCTTTTCTGAATGTTAACTTTATTATCCTCATGCTTTCACTCTGTCCATACATGGACTCACACAAACATGCACACATTTCTCCGCTAAATTGTTTGAGAGTAAGTTTCAGGATTAATATCCTCTTATCGCTACACACATCAATGTGTGATTCCTAAAGACAAGGACATTCTCTTACCTAACCAGAGCATAATAATCAAAAGAAGGGATCTTGAAACTAATTCTATTTTAGTTTTTCATATAATTATCATCTGTGATGAATTGTCTACTTGTCACAGAACTTTAGTGCCCCACAAAATACCCCACCTACTATTCTTTTTTTTTTCCCCCTTCCTGTTAACACAGATTACAGTGACCAATAAATTCACTGACAGTGGTTCTGACTTACACTTACCCATTGCTGGTTTTCAAGACTTAATACCCTTAAGACACTTTCAGATGATTTTTTTATTATACCCAGAAGTTTTTGTGACTTATCATTCTTTTACTGTAATTCACCCAAAGATTTGGTCATAGAGATGACAAAATATGATTTGTGATCTTATTAACCTAAAATTTAGCACTTACATCACATGTGCTTTTCTTTGCAAAAGTAATTTGCTTTGTAAGAACAAAATTCCCTGAATTTCCATTTTTGACACATACTAAGTTTTGAAATAAACTCCAAACAATTTATCATTTCATCCCAATAGATTTTAAGAAGGTATATTTATTTCATTTTTATTTTTTTAATTTTTACTATAACCAATTCTCAAGACTTCGCTTAGTTAGTTGGCATTAATTATTTCCATTAAATTTTTTTTATTGCATTTACTGAGAAAGTTGATGGCTACAATATGTTCACCAGGGTAATTGGCAAATGAAGTTTATAGTTTTCAGATCTCTCATCATTCTCTTGGAAGTTTCTTCTTACTCTAACTATGAAATGCCTTTGCTACAGTTGTTTTTTTATTGGTGTGAAATTTACACAACATACAATTACCGTTTAAAAGTGTACCATTTTAAAAGTGTATGCTGAGTGAATAAGTCAGTCACAGAAGGACAAATATTGTTACTAGTTCGTTATTATAAAAAAGTCAAGGATAGGTTTATGTATGCCAGGAAACTTTCTTTGTTGGTTACCAGGGATAGGAGGGGAGGGGAGGGAACACTGCAAAAATAAAAGAATAATAAAGAATTAAAAAGATAAAAGTGTACAATCTAGTGCACTCACAAGTTGTATCGCTTCTCTCTAGTTTAAAACTTTTGATCACCTCAGAAGAACACCTTTTACCTATTAAGCACCAAGTATTTTAAAACTAAAATTAACAATAGGTAATTCATAGGGATTATAAGGGAAAAGAACACAGAACCTACCCTTTTATAAATACGTAAAATCTATGAATACCTGATAATGTAAAATTATATGCTTACTTAGGTTTTATCAGTTTTATTTGTTCTGTGTCATAGGTATTTTGGCATAAAGGCATAAAATGACCCTAAAAATATGTTAAATTTCTGCAGCAGAGATCTCTAAGGAATGTTTGGGATCCAGTATTTAAATACCCAAATGGAGTTGGAAGCTTCAACTCAAACCTTCAGGGGACAAAACGTGTGCTTACCATATTTAACATCTGCTCTCTTATTTTT